GCGTTCATTGGAAGAGACATGCCACTCTACACCGGGGCCAGGGAGGAAAGTAGCCTCGCCGAGTTAACTAATCGCATAGATTGAAGTAATATTAACGTCGTTGCATTACAGATGTATCGCAGTCTCCGCACGGTTAGTTCTCGGCAGCTATAAAGGAGCATCGAGGCAAAATGTGGGCTGGGAAATGTGCTCCCACTAACCACACGGCAGCCACAGGGTTTCAAAGTGTCCTTTTGAAAACCCATTGCAAAGGGGATTTGACACAACATCAGCAAAAGATATAACAATAACTCTAGCTGAACAAGGAAGAAAATATTCCCACCAAGGAAACAAGAAACGTGCACGCACACACACACACGCGCGCGCGCGCGCACATGATTCTAAAGGTTAAGGCAGCTGGCAGGGTAGAGTTTGACCGTGGACTTTCTGGAAGCTGGGCCAAAGGAAGAAAGAGTCTGGGGTTAAAGCCCTGGTTTCGAGAAAGCAGGAAGCAGCCTGGTTCTTTAGGAGACAGAGGATTTCCCCCTGGATCCTTTCCTAAAGATGTCCCTTATACAGATCTTCCCTGAGGGATGTTGAGAAATCCGGACCTGCAAGATCCTCACCCTGTATTCCCCGTGGTGCAGATGGGGCTCTCCTACAGCTTCTAGATGCAGCCCGGGAGGTACAATGACATTTACAGGATAGGTACATATATATGTAAAAAAAAAAAAAAGTCTGGAAGAACGCAAGCACATGCACACACCGCCCAGTGGAGGAGGGAGCCCGGATGTGGGTAAGAGACAGCTGGTCTGTAGGGACTTATTAGATTTTTAAAAAGAAAGAAAAGGGTGAGGGCTCAGAGTTCTACCTGGTATGGGTGCTTCTGCCAGTGGCCAGGCTACATGGGGCAGAACTGAGGCCTTCTTGGGGCCTAGCTTGACCCAGAGGGAGGTGGCAGTGAAGACCTCGGGCATGCCAGCCAGAGCAGCTCACTGCACACCAGCTGTGTGACTTTGGGGAAGGCACGTGCCTCAGTTGCTTCATCTGTAAGATGGAGCTAATGCCCACCTTGCGGAGTTGTTCTGAAGATGGAATAGGACAATGCAGTCTTTTATTTTTTAACCTTAGAATATCCAGACAAGTGATTAATACTTATTCCCTCCCAGGGATCCCACTCTGATGATCAGGGGGCCACATCCACTGAAAATATGGCTCGTTTGGCCTGCAGAGGGCTGGAAACGTTTCTGCTCTCAGCGCCATCAGGCAGGGCATGCGTCTCCCCCTGCCTCATGGCCCCCCAACTGCCAGTGGTTCCCACCTGAGCCCCCTGCTCCTGACCCCTGCCTCAGCCTGCCTTCCTCCCCAGGTCCCCTGTCAGCCAGACCTCTCGGTGGGAGCTGGGCAGCAGATGGCTGGAGGACAGATGTGGCTTTAAACTGTGTTGTGGGAGCCAGACATCCCCTTAGGAAAGCTAGGATGCCCGCGTTGTGACCGCGCTGGGCTGGACGGCGTCCCCGCCACACACCATCTCTTCAAATGAGGGTGTTTCTGTCTCGCCAGATGTCTCTGTGGCAGTAATTTTGTGGAACTAGTCATTGGAAGCTGCCTGTGATGTCCTTCTCAAATAGCGATTTCCTGATGAATTCACAGCACGCGTTTGCTGTGCGCCTCTGCTAGGCAGAGAACGTATCCATACTAACATGTAAAAGAGTGCTTTGAGGATCGACTTTTTTGACAGTCGACAAGTAGTAGCCTGCCATCCTGCAATTGGATGATTGAAGCCGAGTTCCTGTGGCGTAACGCAGGCTGGGTGGTTCTCATTCTCCATTGCTACAGAAACCTCTGCGGCTCAGTGATGCTGAAACTCAGCTAGCGCTTACCCGCCTCGCTTCGAGGAAGGCTAAGGAGGGGAACAAGTACAGGTGGACATCTCTAGGGTCTCGGATCCCATATCCCAAGAGCAGATCAGAAGTTAAAGCAAGATGGAAATGACCTGGAGGTGACACCAGCAGGCCGCCGTTTTTCCAGTCAGGTGCATTCTTAGAACACTGTCAGAGAGTGGAGCTGCCCGTGTTTATCCATTTATTAATTCCGAAGCTCGCGTTGCTGTGCCGGGCTCCTGGGTAAGACTGGCAGGGCCTCGCTGTCTTGCACTTCGAGTGGCAGATATAATAAATAAGTTAAAAAGCGGATAGGACCATTTCAGAGATGAAAAGGAACAAACACAGGGCAGTGTGATGGGGAGGGGACCCAGGGGGCGGGGGCCACTCCAGAGGGGTGGTCGGGAGAAGTCAAGGTGGAACAAGGCCACCAGCACCTGGGGCAGAACGTTCCAGACAAGCGCGCAGGTCCGAAGGCAGGTCCGAGCTTGGCAGCGTCAAGGACAGCAGTCAGATCAGTGTGTCTACGTGGAGTGAGCCAGGGGAGACCCGCCAGGAGCCGGAGCCCGAGAGGTCGGCAGGGGCCCCTGGAGGGGTTAGGATTTATTGTCAGTGCTGGAGGAAGTCACTGGGCAGCTTTAAGCAGGAGGCCACCATGATCCGATTTAAGTTGTTAAACAAAACAACTGCCGCTGTGTAGAAATGAAGCGTGTGTGCAGGGTGGGGAGAGCCCAGAGGGGAAGCAGAGGGACCAGCCAGGAGGCGACGGTGGCGTCTCCGGGAGAGACGATGGTGGCCTGGGCGAGGGAGGCAGCAGCACGCTGAGAGAGAAGGGGTCAGAGTCGGGGTGTGCTTTGGAGACGGAGCTGAGGGACTTGCTCACAGACTGGATATGTGAGTGAGAAAGCGAGAAAGATTGAGGCGACTCCTGGTTTCTTGGCAACTTCTTGAATGGTGGAACCATCTTTAAGATGGAGAAGACTAGGTCTGGGGAAAGTGATTTAAGAATTTTCTTTGGGGCATTTTAAGGTTGAGATACCCATTCAATAGCCAGGAAGAGGGGTCAAGTGGTCAGTTGGGGAGAGGCCAGGGGCGCAGATTAACATGACTGGCAGTCACCGACAGGAGCCTGGGCTGGATGGGACCAGCTAGTGCGCAGCACGGCAGCCCCAGGGTGGAGCCTGGGGAGGCCCAGCTGAAGAAGAGGACCCGGCAAAGGAGCCCGGGCAGGGGCAGCCCCAGGGGCAGGAGAAAAAGCGGGTGGATGCAGAGCCGCAGAAGCCCGTGGAAGCCCATGGAAGGAAATCCATCGAGGAGGAGGAGTGGCTGACTGCACAATTACTGCTGAGCCGCTGAACTACTGAGGACCGAGAATTTTCCACTGGCTTCGGCAGTTGGCCGTACCCTGTAATTTATTGTCAGAACCTGGACACTGCTGAGAGTGGAAGGACTCTGGAGTGATTACACCAGGACAGCAGGTGTGAATCAGAACGGTCCCGACAAACAAGGACAGTCCCTCCCGCTAGCTGTTGGCTCCTGGGGGAGGCAGAGGCAGGAGCCCCACAGAGGCGATGGGAGGTGGGGCCACAGTGACTCTTGGAGTTCGCTGTAAGGGTGACGGACGAATCGTGGGGTGCCCCGCAATGGAATATTCCACAGCCATAAAAAGGAAAAACTATCGGTTCACACGACACAGATAAATCTCAGAGTAGTTATGCTGAGTGAGAGAAGCCAGGCACAAAAAGAGTACATGCTGTATGATTCCTTTCAATGAAATTTCTAGAAAAGGCAAACAGTGGGTAGTGAGGGCGAGTAGCTGGGGGGTGGCCTGGGGCCGGGCAGGAGGCGGGGGAGGGGTTACCAAGGGGAACGAGGAAACTTTGGGGGTGATGGGCATTTCGTTCTCTTGAGAGTGGAGATGCCTTCATGGGTGTACACGCGTGTTAAAACTTATCAAGTTGTTCCCTTTAAGTATGCACAGGTTACTGTATGAGGTATGTAGTATCTCCCTCCAGAAAGCTGTACAAGAAAAAAGCCAAGAGTTTTCCTGTAAAGCAGACGAGACACAGTAGCAGGAGGAAGAGTGATTTTATTTTAAGCATAAACAGAGGAACGTTGGACACCTGCATGACACAGGGGCAAAAGGACACAGGAAAGCTAGACGGGGGCCCTTTTGTGAAGGTCACTGTGTGTCATGCCGAGGGGTTTGGAAGTCATCCCATCGTCCTGGGTTCTCCACCTCCTCCTGCAAAGGAATCATCTAGAGAACTTGTTGGAGCTCCCTAGAGACCGCCCTTGAGGCAGGGGTCCCCAGAGCGCATCCCCTTGCCTCCCCCGTCCCCACCGTGGGGACAGTGCTCCACCTCAGGTGCCGCCAGGCCCTCTGCCATGGGGGCTCGTGCAGTGTGGGGGCATCAGTGCCCCCCAGGGCAGCCTTCAACAGGCAGTGGATAAACGCCCCAGTCTTCGGAGGGGCGTTTCTGAGGGCCATTCACAGAACGACCAGCTCAAAAGTTTTTGTGTTTTTTCTCCTGCCCTGTATCCCTTTCTCTACTTCCCCTTGGGAACACTTGCCAGATAAACTATTTGCACCCCCAAGTCCTTTCTGTGGCTTTGCTTTCAGGGCACCCAAATTATGACACCCGTGGAGCCCAGGGAGCCTGCATTTTATACACACACCAGGCTCTTCTGACGCAGACGGCCCAGGAACCTGCTTAAAGATCGTTGCCATCCGCTGTGAAAAAACGTGAAGGATTTCACAAAGGGGAGTGACTGGGCAGATTTGCTCTTGGAGAAAATGAACTCTGGTGGCAATGTGAAGTTGAGGTTGAAGTGGCAAGAGCCGGGAAGCAGGGAGACCAATTAGTAGGCCGTTACAAATGTCCCGCCAGGCGGTAATGATGACGAAGACAGCGATTGAGGCTGTCCCTTTGTGAAAGTCCTTTGATTTATAGAGTATGTAACAGTTCGCACAGAAATGAGGCCAAGCCTTGTTTAACACCCCCAGTGCTGGGGTTTTTATAAAGCTCACGTTTCTAGCATTTTACATTTTTCCTTTTTTGATATCTTCTACTTCCAAAATTTGATACATCAGGCTGATGCCAAGCATCTTCATTTTGTTAAATTTTGTGTTTTCAGGATCTCAGCGTTGGTGCCAAGAACGTGAGGCTTTATGTCAACAAAAACCTCATCTTTGATGGCGAGTTAGACAAAGGAGGTGGGGAGGCCCCGGCGGACCACAGCATCCCGGTCGACCTGCCGGTCGACCTGAAGAGGGAGGACAGTGAGCGAGCGGAGATCGCCATGAGTGCCTGCTCAGAGGAAAGCAAGGATGTCCCCAAGATGCCTGGCACAGATGGGGACAAGGAGCCCAGTCTCAGTTGCTCGCAGCCAGCTGAAGCATTAGTGGATGTGAAGCTTTCTTCACAAGGTGATTTATCTGGCGAGAGGATGAATTCTGCTAACTGCATGAAAGACAGTTTGTCCAAGTTAGAGGAAGATTTAAGATTGCTGGCGGCCCCTGCTTCGATGGGTGACCTGCCTGGTGCCCCTGCCACCTCCCCATGTGAGGGATGCCCTCCTCGTGACGAAGAGCCCTCTCTGATCCAACAACTGGAAAATCTCATGAGCAGAAAAATCTCTGAGTTACCAGGGAAAACTCCAGCCTGGTTACAACCTTCTCCCGCAGGGAAAGGCAGGAAGCAGGAAGACAGGAAGCCCAAACCCCTCTGGCTTAGTCCTAAGAAGCCCCCGGACCGGAAGGGCAGGCTCCTGTCAGATGTCGCTGGTGAAGGTCCCAGACAGATGGAGGCTGGGGATAAAGGCCCCCAGCATGAACAAGAGGGGGTGACCAGCTGGAATGTCATCGCTGGTGAGAGACCCCAGAAGGGGACCTCCAAAGTGTATGGTGATGACTTAGACATCTTTAACCAGCCCCCGACCAGGGAGCGCCCTGCTAGTGGGAGGAGGAGCATGAGGAAGGATGCCGTCAGCAGTAGTCATGGTGACAGCCAACCGGCCAGCAGAGGTAAGCTCCAGAAAGCAGCCTGACTCGGGCAGCGTCATCCCTGAGCCTCCCTGGACCTCAGTTCCCTCATCTGTAAAACAGGCCATTGTTCTCAACTGGGGGTCACAAATTCACTGTCTCAGGGGCCACAGAGGTGGCATGAAAGAGTGAAATGGGAAAGACACGTTTTTGCATGATAAACCCATAGACATACTTGTCATTGCCACCAAGATATGTTCCTTTGCCCATTTTTCTTACAATGCATGGCTTTTCCAATCTAGACTTTGTTAGTCTACCTTTAATAGAGACATTGGTCTCCAATTACTTCACTTTGTGCTCACTGCACTGTTAGAAAAATAACACAAGTGTGACGATACATAGCGACGGATACTTGCCCTGGTGTCAGAAGTAGCATAGGGAGTGGTGAGGAGTTTGGCAAACTGGAAAGCCCAAAGCCCCTAAGGGGACACCTGCTGTTCCACTTGGGCTTCCGGTCGGCACTCAGGAATGCAAGGCCAGCGTGCCAGACTTCCCTTTCCTCTTTTCAAGAGAAGCTAGAAATGTGGACTATTCTTATTTTTCAACAGTGGCGGCTCATTGAAGTTATTTATAAACCACCGTGTGTGTCCAAAAAGTCACATCCGTCGGCAGGACTCACCGCGAGAGCTTTGTGAACTTTGCAGTAGATTATCTCCTCGGACGTTCCCGATTCTGAAAGGAGGATCTGGCAAAGGCTGGGAGTCTAAATATTTGCACTCAGATTTGGCTCCTGGGAAGGAGTGCAGCACAGCCCTGGGGGGCAAACCATTTCGGCCCAAGCTCCGCTACTTATGGGTCTGGGACCTCTAGCCGGGTGCTCCACTCGCTGAGCCTCAGTGTTTTTATCTGTAAAATGGGAATGACCCCAATCCCCTTAGTGTTTCAAGGAATGAATAAGATGATGGCTTCAAAATAGTGACGCAGGGCCTGGCGTGTGGAGAGTGCTCAGTGAGTGGTGGCTGTTATTTCAACATTAGCTCAGACGTGGACTTCCTTTACCCTCCACGGAGCACTCAGACCTAAAAAGCCAGGGCTCACCCCTAGGTCCTCTGAATTTAAGCCCACCCCACACCGCAGGGGAGCGCAAGCCCTGCCTAAACATAAATTTTGGCTCTGTCACCTCCAATCCACCCTTGGGTAGGTTCTGAAACTCCTCTGAGCCTCAGTTTCCTCATCTGTAAAATGTCACTAATAATACCTCTTGGGGTGTGGGGAGGCTCAGATGGGATCATACTTGCCCAGCTTGTGGCACAGTGTCTGGCCCGTGGGAGCATCCCAAAGATGTTAGCTGTTGCTGTTGTCGTCATGGTCACCATCACCCCACTCTGGTTCTGCCTCTAGGTGGTGTATCTGTATACAAAACTGATGCACATATTTTTTAATGAATGCAATCGGCATCTACTCTGCTGGGGAGTGTCTGGTAGACAGACGCCTGATGTGTCACTTGGGATACTAGAGCGAGTTCCTCCGACTCTGAGTGCCTTCCTGTGCAGAGCTGCCCCCTCTGGTTCCCCAGCCTTACAGATTTTTGTGACTCCCCCCTTCTCAGACTTAACACACAGGCTGGGTGTCAGGAAGAGCAGAGCGGAAGGGAAGAATCAAGAAGCTCTCTGAGGGCAGGTGCCTGGCTCACGGCAGGTCCTCTCTGCAGAGTGGGAGGGAGGATGGTAAGAGGGAACTGTGACGACTGCATGCATGGCGTGGGCCAGGCGTGTTACCTGAGTGAACTCTAAGCCTCACGACAGTCCCATTTTACAGATAAAGAGGATGCAAGGTTTCAGTAGTTTCTTCTGGTCATAGCCAGTAAGGGTTAGAGCATGAGCCTAGCCCAGGCTGGCCAGCTCCAACGCACACGCTGCAGATCTCTACAGTGCCCTCTTAACACAGCTGTTGTCAGCCGCCCACCCCACGAGAGCCGGGCAATTTCAGCCTTTCCCAGTAAACAGACACACAGAGCCTCTGGGAGTTCCAGGATGACGGGCATTATTCTAACTTTAGAAGACTTTGTCTCACTTTAATTTCTTTCTAGGCATTTCAGTGCTTGCTTCAATGACACATTAAGTACTGAGCCCTTGAGATTTAATGCTTGTTAAGCTGGTAATGCTAAAAAGGAAAGTTGCTTAGAAATTTTAAACTCTCCATTACCTAGAGCCAAATCCCATAGCTATGCCCTTCAGGAGAGGTGCGGGCCAAGCCCTCCAACAACGCTGGCAGAATGACTGAGTGCCCAAGTGTTTCCCTGGGATTGGAATTGTGTTGTCGCCATAAGAGAGAGCCTGGGAATCCTTTTGCCCAACAGAGCGTCTCATTGAATGTCATTTGCATTTCAGAGGGGTCAGTTGGCTATAGGTAAATGAGATCTTATCAGCCCAGCTTGAGCAGTAAAGGGAGTGTTATTTGGAGAAAGCTCAAAGAGCTCCTCAACCCCAAAGGCAGGAAGTATAGCCGCTCATCACAGAACCAGAACACAGAGCCAGGAAGCCAGGGAAGCAAGGAAGCTTCCCCGTGTCTGTCCAGTGCTGCTAGGCCCTACCTCCGCTTCTCTGTGGGTCCACTTTTCCTCACTTTCCTTATGAGACTGGCTTTCTGTGCTCTATGCACATGGCAGGAAATGGCCTCATGGCCCTAGAGTGACTATGTCCCAGCTCTTCTTCCAGCAACCAATTCCACAGTCTCAGGGGAGACGCTGATTGGTCTACTTGGGTCAAGTGTCCAGTCCTTGTCCAATCAGCAATGGTTGGAGGGCAGTTCATTAGAATAAACATGGCTCTGTTATATCTCTCTATGTATTTTTTCATTTCCTGTTGTAGTAGCAATTACTGCATATCTCGTGGTGGTGTAGTCGATTTTGATAAACTAAAATTCGGAGCTCCATGGTTCCCATTAGTCTCAACCCAGAAGTATTTTGGAATCTTTGATCCCATCATCTCATAATTGGTGGTCCCTCCCAGACTGTGTTGACTGGAGATTGAAGCAGCAGCTTTCTGCTGTCTGTTCAGATTGTAGATAGCAATGTTGGCAGTGACAGGACAAAGCACTTATCCCAGCAGCTCCCCAACACCCAAGGAGTGGTGAGTAGCATGTTCTGCAGACAGAGAGATACGTGGGCCCCTAGCCAGCTATCACATCTAACAGGTCCAGGAGCAAGGCTACACTTCTCTGCTTTTAAACCCAGAGTATGCAACTCAGGGAGAATAGGTTAGAAAACAGACACAGAATGACAGCAAAGTCCCGCCTGTCTTGCACACCCAGGCAGAGGAAGCACAGGCTGAGTCCCTGACACATGGCATTTGGTGCTGTCTCCTCGATGCACTTGCAAACTGACCCAGGCCATTTGTTGTAGTCAGTGGAAATCAAATCACATAAACTGAAGTCATGGTGACCCATATGGGTAGTATTTCTGCCAGATGTTAAGCATCGTGCCTGGGAGAAGAGGATGGAAGAAACTTCTGGTATCTTTTTAAATGGCAGATGAGAAGGAGGGGAAGGGAGAGGACAGGTGCAGGAGAACTGACAGGTGAGGGGGGAGTCCCTCGGCCTTCAGGCCTGATCCCAGGGGGTACAGAAGGGATGGTGCCAACAGTCCATCCCTTCACTGGCATTCCAGGTACCAGGTGCCAGGTGCTGTGCTAGGCTCTGGGACACATCAGGGAGCAAGGACGAGGTGGCAGTGAAGGCCTCCCCGAGGAGGCAGATGACAAGAAAAGCCAGCTAAGTGGGCATCTGGAGCCAAAGCATTTCTGGCAGGGGCACAAAGAGACTGGGTGTGTCCATGATCAGGGGCCAGAGTGGCTGGAGCAGATGGTTGTTGGGGGAGGGGGAGGGGAGGCTGCAGAAGTCAGCAGGGCCACACTCGGCCCTGTGGGCATGGTGACTTGGGTTGTCTTGATTCTCAGTACGAGAGAGGCAATGCCAGCTAGAGGGGTGATTACCAACTCTGTTTCAGGCACATGGAGACTGCAGTGACAGAGTGGACATGTCTGGGCCCCCCAAGGATGGTTGGAATTGGAAGATGGTTCCTGGGGTAGAGAAGGCAGAACTTGACGTGTAAAGTTGAGCAGTACCTCCCTGGGAGCCGGGAGCCAGGAACCAGGAGAGGGTAACAAGGGATGGCAGTGTCGGGAGAGGACTGGCCCGGGCCTTGAGCCACCCCCAGACTGTGGGTGTGGAAGGGTGGCACTGTGATGAGGGACAGAGAGGAGCTGTCAGCTGGTGAGGCAGAGAACCAGGGAGATATAGCACCTCCTAAGCCAGTGGAGGGGCACATGAAACGGAAGAGGTTTGCCTGGGATGCCAAGCACAGAATGAGGACTGACAAAGACCGGGGAGTCATCGTCCACTTGGAGAAAGCCGTTTCAGTGAAGAGTTAAGGGAACTGTGGGATTCTTATAAATGCAAAGGACAGAAAGCCACGAGGAGGTTGACTTCAGGCACGGCTGGATCCAGGAGCTCAAATGATGTCATCGGGACTGTGTCTCCATCTCTGGGCTCATGTTCCCCATGTTGGCTTCATTCTCAGGTTGGCTGGTTCTCCCCATAGTGTAGCAACGTGGCCCTGGCAATGCCGTACCTCCGTCCTGCCAGCTTAGCACCACCAGTTTGAAGATAGCCCCTCCAAGCCTCGCTTGGAAAGATGCTGTCAGCGCCGACCTAGATGGCCCGAAGGTGGGGGAACCCAGAGTGTTGTTCCCAGGAGAGGGGGCAGTGGAGTTTGGGTGGCTAACACAATCACACAGGAAAGAGGCGCCGGGTGGCCGGGGGTTGAGAGCAGCTGAGCCTCTGAGCGACAGAGAGAAAATAGGACAGTGGTCGGAGGGAGCCACAGGAGCAGGGCAGCTTTCTTTTCCTTTCTTCTCTTTTAGGTAGGAGAGAGGTACGCATGTCTGCAGGCAGAGAGAGGGGAAGGCGCCAGTGGGGAAGGAGTGATTGAAGATTCTGGAGAGAGGATATAATTGATGGCGCCAGGCCCCCTAGGAGACAGGCAGAAAATGGAGTGCACAGTACGATGTGAAAGCAGAAAAAACAGAATGTCAGTGTCATCAGCTGCTGTTTTTCCAGAATGACACCCTTAGATGGCGGTTAGCCGTCGCATGGCTGTGAGGACAGGCCCCTACTTGATGCACACACCAGGGCTTTTCGATTTTCCAAGGAGGAGAGTGAGGCCTACAGAGCTGTCCTTCCGAGGACTGGGCCCGCATCCTCCATGTGCCTGGGACACGGGGCTCAGCCACGTGGAGAAGGAAATCCCCTACCTTGTCATATACCTGGCGGGTTGGCTTTTTTAATAGCATTCTTTCTTGATTATAAAAGCAATATACATTCTACCTCACGTGGCCAGAAAAAGTGAAAAGAAAAAAAAAAGTAATAAAATAAAATAAAATAAAAAAGGCCAGGCACGGTGGCTCACGCCTGTGATCCTAGCACTCTGGGAGGCCGAGGCGGGAGGATTGCTCGCAGTCAGGAGTTCAAGACCAGCCTGAGCAAGAGTGAGACCCCCCGTCTCTCTTTTTAAAAAAAATAAAATAAAATAAAAACAATACACACAGGGAACTTAGAAGATAAACTTACAAAGAGGAAAATAGAAGTCTTTCTGACTCGCCACCCAGAAACTATGAACGTGGTGTTAGCACCCTGGTGCATGTCACCGTAATAGAATGTGCTGCATCTGAAATTGCGTATCTGGCTTTCTTCCATTTAACATTCTTTTATGAGCCTTCCACCTGCCATTAAATCATCTTTGAAAGCGCCGTTACAGTCACATGACTGTGTCAGCCTCGAGCGCGAACCCTCATGTTGCTGACTCAGGAGCCCCAGGCAGCTGCGTTGGCCCCGGTCATGATAGCTGCGTTCTTAGAAAATCTAAAGTCTATCAAAAATACTTTGTTTTTTGTAGAAACAACCAGGCTCTAGACTTGAGTGATCATAAATAATTTTTTTTTACCAACCTTAGTGTCCAGCAGGACAGTCAAAAGTTGTGTGGGACAGGAGACCTCACTCTGTGCCAGGACCGTCACAAGCAGTGCAGGATGTAACATCCTCAGCCTCGTGTGTCAAGCTCCAGGAGGGCCTCTCTGGCAACGAGACAGCCAAGAGCAGCCCCACTGGTTTCTAGAATGTACTGCCCCCCCCAGGTGGCCCTGTTGGCTGAGAGCCGCTGTATGAGACAGTATCTAAGGGTCCCCACCTCCGTGCGTGCTGCTAACAGGGCTTCACCCCTCCTGTGTCCTTTCTTCCAGAAGACACCTGGTCCACCAGGAAGCCGCCGCGGTCGAAGTGGCACAGTGAACAGGAACACATGCTGCATGAGTCGTGGAACTCGCTCAGTGCCTTTGACCGCTCCCACCGGGGACGCATCTCTAATATGGAGTTCCAGGGGGACGTCCTGGACGAGTTCCTGCAGCAACAGAAGAGCAGCCGGCACAGCGACCAGCCACCGCCCTGGAAGGACGAGAAGCCAGAGCCTCCGAGAGGGCAGGATGGCTGCTCTGGAGAGACGGATGACGGGGGTGACTTCAAAATCCCCGTCTTGCCTTATGGACAGCACTTGGTCGTCCATATCCAGTCTACGTGGGGGGACAGACACTATGTTGGCCTCAACGGAATAGAAATATTCAGTTCCAAGGGGGAGCCGGTGCCAATTTCAAACATTAAAGCAGAACCCCCCGACATCAATATTTTACCAGCCTATGGGAAGGACCCCCGTGTGGTCACCAACCTCATTGACGGGGTGAACAGGACCCAGGATGACATGCACGTCTGGCTGGCCCCCTTCACGCCGGGCAAGTCCCACTCCATCTCCATCAACTTCGTGCACCCTTGCCATGTCGCCATGATCAGGATTTGGAATTACAATAAATCTCGGATCCATTCCTTCCGCGGCGTGAAGGACATCACGATGCTATTAGACGCCCAGTGCATCTTTGAAGGAGAAATTGCCAAGGCCTCGGGAACCCTGACGGGAGGTACAGCATGTCTGTAAGAATGTTCTCCAAGCCCCTGTCTGCTACTCACTGAGGGTCTGAGGATAAAAATAAACCCAGTGGCTAGCAATGAGAGAGCGGTCCCTCTTTCATAGACCTGGTCCACTCCTCACCTCTTGCAGCATGGGTGTGCTAGAGCAGGCCTCATTTAAACTCCTCCATTAAAGGCCGGGCAGGGTGGCTCATGCCTGTAATCCCAGCACTCTGGGAGGCCGAGGCGGGAGGATCACTTGAGGGCAGGAGTTTGAGACCAGCCTGAGCAAGAGCGAGACCCAGTCTCTACTAAAAAATAGGAAAAAAAAAAATTAGCTGGGCATGCTGGCACACTCTGTAGTCCCAGCTACTCGGGAGGCTGAGGCAGGAGGATCGCTTGAGCCCAGGAGTTTGAGGTTACAGCGAGCTGTGACGACCCCACTACACTAGCTGGGGCGACACAGCAAGACTCTGTCACAAAACAAAACAAAGCAAACGGACAAAAAAAACCCAAAACTCCCCCATTAGGTACTTGGCTTAGGTTCCTAGAAGCTCTGTCTGATAAGGGATTCTTCGGTGAGTGACTCACTGGGGGAGTCTTTAGGAGAAACGTGGGGCGGTGAGGCAAGGATAGTTCAGGGGAAGCCCAGCCTCAGCCCGATCCCAGGGGAGCGCTGGAGCATAAATTGCAGGGTCCTTCCTGCCTTGAGGCAAAGGAGCAGGGCGCCGGAGCCCACAGGCCAGTCGGTCGTGGGAGCCAGGCTGCCCAGGCTGGAGGCGTCACTCCCATGCCCTCCTAGGTAAGGCGGTCTGCAAAAGGGATCAGCAGGCATCTGGATAGGGCACCCACAGCTGCTACACTGCCTCGCCCACACCAAAGAAATGTCACTCGCTTGATGACAGATCACAGTGATTCTCATTAGATTAGGTCCCTTCCTTGGATCTATGTGGTTCTTACCGTCCATGAATTCCATTTGCAACTATGTGAAGAAAATAATAAGGTTCACTTACACAGATCAATAACGGTTGGTGGTTTGGGATTGTGTAGCACAAAGGTTAATGAGTTTAGGCTATTGACCTACAAATCATTGGGATTTGGGGTGTGTTGACCCTTCCGTCTTCTTGGTAACCCACCAGCCCCAGAGCACTTCGGAGACACGATCTTATTCACCACCGACGACGACATTCTCGAGGCCATATTCTGCTCTGATGAGACGTTTGACGTCTATGTGGAGGGCCTGGGCAGGCTGCAGTACGAGGAGGCGCTGAGGAGGCCCAGCACGGCCGACGGCGACAGGGACGAGCGGCCCTTCATCCAGGCCGGCCTGTGGGCTGGAGACCCGGTAGGACCCGGGGCCCGGGGGACCCCTGGCTAGGTTTCTTCTCCTGACTCCGAGTAGAGCCGGGAGAATGAAGATGGATGTCCTTTAAGCTGCTGGTGCCACTTTTTGACATTTCCCATTTTTCTACTTCGTTGTTTTGTCCTGGATGTCATATTTCATTCTCTAATTATTTCTTATTTTTTTTTTTTTTTAGCCGAAGTAAAGAAAGTATTCAAATTTTAATCAAAGCCAGGAGAAATCAGCTCTATGTCATCTCTGTAATTTAGAGGTTGGCAGTCTCAGGGGAATCTGTGCTTTGGGTTGCGTTTTGATCACTCACTGTCGTTGATGGAAGGCCCAGAAACAGGCAGAGTTACAATTAAAACAGTGATCAGCATAGCCATGGTTTCTTGAGCGCGTATCGTGATGCAAGCAGGGTGCACAGTGGTACTGTGTTTCACCCTCATGACAGCCCTTTGAGCAGAAACTATTTTCCCTTGTAAGCCACTCTGCTGGGCCCCAGCCCTGAGAGGACAGGGAGGGAGCCCTCTCTCCATCTCATGGAAGATCAGCAACTTCCCATCTTTTCAGTTCTCAGCTTTCCTGTCTGTAAAGTAGTAGAGGCTCTTTTGCCCTAATTTATGGTGCAGACAGATAATGAGCAAATAGTTTATACATGAGACCCAGAAAGTGGCGTGTGGCAGCAGCCTCCCCTTTGACTGTCCATATATAGACCAGGATTCTTCATCCTGGCTACCCAAGGGAGCTTTAAAAATGCAGATGCCTGGGCCCCACCCATAGAGATTCTGATTCAGTGAACAGCCAGGGCTGAGAACCACTGTCTATGGTTTGAATTCTTCCTCCTTCCCTCCCTACCTCCTCCTTTCTTCCTTCCTTCCTTCCTTCCTTCCTCCAGATCACTAGATAAACATTTATTGAGTTCTTCCCTGTTCAAGAAAATCTCAGCATCTTAGCTGTTAGCATCATGGCCCCTCCCCTACCAACAGGAGCTGCTGGCAGGGATTCAGACACCCGAGGCTCTCTGGGCCTGCCCATCTCACTAGTCACGGAGCTTCCACAAAGGCAGGAAATCCAAGAAAAGACACAGGACGTACCTGGCTATGGGATGGGCAGGAGTATCTGGAAAAACAACCAGCTAGCTGGGTGAATATCACTAAAACGACCACCTTTTTCCTCTGCTTCTCCCCCAACCCTTGTGCAGGTCCTGGAGCTAGAGCTGCCACCCAGTCCCCCTGTCCCTGAAGTCACCACGCCAGAGCCAGGCATCTACCATGGGATCTGTGAGTACCAGCTCCTGGGAGAGTGTCAGGTGGAAGGAGGACTTTTCTGGTTTGGGGGGAGTTGTGGTCACTTGGGATAGGGTCTCCTTGGACAGTTGGGCCGGCTGTACGCTGTTGAGAGACACCAGGCCGTGGGGCAAGTAGGGGCTGAAACCAGCCGGCGCTTGGCTCACTGGCCTAGCAGGGCTGCGCCACTCCAGAGGAGGGGCCACTCTTTGCAATTTGCCCTAGCAGAGGGGCATTTTTGCATTTTGCATGCAGGCGCCCTACATGTTAGCTGTGACCCTGACCCAGGGTCAGGGAGGCTATAGGTGGCACCCAGAAAGTATAGAACAGGAGGACGTAAGAGCCAGAAGAGACGTAAGAGCCAGACGCAAAGCATCTGTCAGTGGGGTGGTTCAGGCTGTCTCTTCAAACTCCACCGCAGAGCAGCTGCGGTGAGCAAAGAAAACCCGCATCCCCCTGCTCCACGGGTGGACCCAGGGTACCAGGTCTTCTGACGTCTCAGAAGGTGGAGATCCAGATTTTTATGTGCAATCACCTGATCCTTAAATGTTGGTGACTAATTTTTTAATGTTTTAAAATATCACATGAGCCAAATAAAACACATACTGTGTATCTGGCCAGCCAGCTGCCAGTTTGTGACATCTGAGTAGATCCCATCTGGGTCTTCCCTGTCTCCTCATCTGTCTTCTTTTTCCATTTACCCTTCCAGACAGTTCCATCTTAATCCACACCATCCACGTCAGCGTCCGTCCTGGGCAGGCCTCAGGCCTGAGGTCACTCACGGCTGACTGTGATCTCCTCCCAGCCATACCCTGTTAACAAGGCTCCTGCAGCCTCACCTCCTGCTCTTTCCTGCCCCCTGTGCCTGTCACCTGCTTCCAGTTAATCTTTGAAAGCAAAAGATGTGACACTGCCATGCTCCCTCAGCCCCCCTCCCCAGCCTCCTTTTCAGAGTGAAGCTGGAACATTCCCGTGAGTTCTGGTGTTAGCCCCTGTCACACTCCTCCCCACCTCACCCGCAGGCTTCTGTGCAAGCCACGTCCTCAGCTTGGGATGCCTGCCCTGTCCATCCCCGCTGGTGCTGGTTGGGTGCCCTAGAGGCAGACTCAGATGGAGTCCCCTGGGGAACGCTCTGATGGGGAAGGGCAGGAGACAGGACTGGGCAGAGGCAGAAGCTGGTCTGCGGAGCAGCCACATTGAGGCCTCAGCCAGCTCCACGGGAGCTTGGGAGCTGGGAAGGTGCTCTGGGGTTGTCTAAGTTGGATGAGGAGGCCGATCTTTACACGTCTGCGTCAACACGGCACTGGATGTGGGCTGTCCCTAAGGAGAAGTATGGCCTTCCGCAAGGCGACTGCAGCCAAGGGTAGTCATGGTGGGGCCCAGTGGTGAGCTGTTGGCCGTCAGCACTCCCGGCCACTGGAGGACTAAGTCCTTTGGTCCTGGGGGTGGGATGGGGGTCTGGGCAGTGTCTATGTGTGCTCCACATCCCCTTCCTTTTTTTTGTTAGAGACAGAGTCTCCCTCTGTCACCCAGGCTGGAGTGCAGTGGTGCCATCATAGCTCACTGTAGCCTCGAGTTCCTGGGCTCAAGCCATCCTCTTGCCTCAGCCTCCTGAGTAGCTGGGACTACAGGCCCATGCCACCATGCCTGGCTAATTTTTTTTTTTAATTTTTTGTAGAGACAGGGTCTTACTATGTTGCCCAGGCTGGTCTCAAACTCCTGGCCTCAAGCCATATTCCTGCCTCAGCCTCCCAAAGTGCTGGGATTACAGGCCCCCTTCAAGGCTACCTCTTTATGCAAGAGTCAGCATCCCCCACGAAGCTGTGAGGTTCCAAAAGACAGCAATCATTTTTTATTCAGTTTGGTCCTCCCTAAATTTGTCAGGATTCTTTTTTTTTTGTGAACAATGAATGGAAATTGAATTCAAACTGAGTTAAGCAAAAAAGGCAATTTATTGGCTTGTGCTACTAAAAGTTAGGGGTCGCTAGTTTCCCACAAAGCTGGATCCAGATACAAAAATGATGCCATTGAGACTTGGTGTCTCTCTCCTTCTTTCTGTCTTGTTTTCCTCCCTTGCCCTTCTCCAGCTCAGGCCTGGAAGCTCTGGTTTATCTACCTTCTACCCAGAAGCCCCAAATAAAAGAGAACTTCTGTTTCGCAGTAGGTCCAATAACTGTCCCAGAATGAAGTCTCTGGGCCTGGCTTGGGTCAGGTGCCCCTCCTGAAACCCATCGCTGTGACTCACCATGGTGGGTGGCCGTGGGAGATGGAAAACGTGGGTCATAGGCCCACCTCTGGAGCCCGGGGCGAGGGGTCAGCCACCCAGCAGTGTGGCCCGAGCATTGGGCGGTTCTCGGGAGGAGATCCGAGTGCCACGTAACTAGGAGAAGAAGGAAGGCAGGCAGGAGTGCTGGCCGGGCAGAGGCAGCCGCCGTCCCCTTCCTCTGATGTTGCTGTCTGTACATGTGCTTCCTGCCAAACCAGCTCTGACCTTTCCCAGAGATGCTATTTCAATGCCTCTGGGAATTTCGCCCTGGAGTAGAGCTCAGAGACCTTTTTACTACAAGGAAAAGTGCAATTTCTCTTCTCTTCTCCTCTCAGTAGGAAGGCAGGAGAGCCTCTCCACCGAGCACGTTCTGCGTGTGTTTTGAGGCCTGTGGTTTCTGCATCTCTCCTCTCTGAACCTTTGGCCTTTCCTCACTGTATCCAAAATCCTCAGTCCGCTTCCCCGACCTGTGCAGATGGGGAGCTTTAATAAAGTGACCCCGGGGAGTGCGTCGGGGTTGGTAAATACGGCCAATCCTATTAATGTTTTCAAAGGGGAGATGTGACTTGCTAATTTGCAGATGACACTAATTTTGGAAGTTTTGCAAATATCAGCAGTGATGAATAAGAAAGGAGCTGAGAGGGCTGAAACATGGGAGAGAAATAACAAAATTAATTTCCATTTGTATAAATACTAATTGATACAGCAGAGGAAAATGAATATGGAACGCTGGGTATTAGCTCAAAAAGGAGAGTAATCACTTTTCGGATCTGCCCCAAATTCGATGGAATCGTAGCGCAGCTTGCCAGGCAAACAAAGACACGGCAGGCTTGGGAGAGCCGGGGCCGCCATCTCTTTTGCTTTCACAAGGGGAGGTGGGGGTGCTCCCTCACTCTTGGAAGTGGATTTCCAAATCCACTTCCTCCTCCACCTCCAGGCCTTCCCCATCTCAGGAACGGTACCCAGAGCCACTCTGTCACCTGGGTCAAAAACTTCTCTTTCCCTCCATTCCGTAGCCGGGTCATTGAGCATCCTGGCAATGCTGTCTCCAAAACAGATCCTAAACCTGTCCACTTCTCCCGTTTCCGCCACTAGCACACTCGCCCAGGCCATCATACTGCAACAGCTTCCTCCCTGGTCTCCCTACTGAGTCCAGCTGAAGTGAGCTTTCGAGCATGCAAATCAGCCAGGCATGGGGGCTCGCATGTGTAATCCTAGCACTTTGGGAGGCTGAGGCGGGAGGATCGCTTGAGCCCAGAAGTTTGAGACCAGCCTGAGCAACATAGCAAGACCCCATCTCTTTTAAAAATAAAAAAAATTAGCCAGGCATGAATGGCTTGTGCCTGTAGTCCCAGCTACTCAGGAAGCTGAGGCAGGAGGATTTCTGGAGCCCAGGAGTTCAAGGCTATGATGAGCTAGGATTGTGCCACTGTATTCTAGCCTGGGCAGCAGAGCGAGGCCCTGTCTCAGGAAAAAAAAAAATTAAAAAATAAGACACAAAGCAGATCATGTCACTCCCTGCTTAAAAATGTAACCTGCCAGTAGCTTCCCATTGCAAAGAGGAAAATTCAAACCTCTCATTGTGATCTAGCCCCTGCCTAACTTTCTGATCTCATTTTCCTCTACTCTCTCCTTTGGCCACTTGTTTCTAGCTATAGGTCAAATTTGTCCTCCTCTCAGCCTAGAATGTTCTTCTTCCAGAAATGAAAAAGCATGGCCGGCTCCTTCTCAACACCCAGGCCTTAGCTCAAACGTCACCTCCTCAGGACAGCCCTCGCTCTATCCCGTTGCTATTTTATTTTCTTCCTGGTATTCATCATTCTGTGGAACTATAGTATTTATTTATCATTAGGTGTTTATTGATGGTCTTTGCTGGAATGAAAGCTCCTTTAGTCCAGAGACTTTGCTGTGTCATTTATCCCTGCTTCCCCATTGCCAAAAACAGGGTCTGGTACATAGTAGATGATCAATAAATGTTTGTTTACTATCGACTATGAATTTGGTGAAACCTAATAGTTTGATTTTGCCTGATCTATCTACAGATATCTACTGAACTTTTCAATCAACCATGTGCTTAAAATTTTTACAAAAACCTTCATTAAGCTTCTTTCAGTGACAGTTTTAGGCTCTGAGGATACAGCAATAAAGAAAACCAGTAGAGTCCTGGCCTCAGGCAGCCTCCATCCTAGTGGGGGAAACTGATGAAAATGAGGAAATGAACGTAGAATATATTGTCAGGTTGCATCACGTGCTGTAAATGAAAAATCAGGCAGGGTGAAGTGTCGAGAGTGAGGCTGTTTGAGCTGAGGTTATTAGCGGAGGCCTCTCCGGAGATGATATTTGAACATAGACCCATGATGAGAAGGAGTGTATCACTTAGCTTTTGCTGAACAGACCAACCCGAAGTGTAGCACTGTTTGTGCATGACGGGTTTGTAATTCAGCAGCGGGGCTGGGCAGCTCCTCTCTTCTGAGCTGCTCACGTGTCCAGTCCTCTGGCAGGTGGACTAGGCTGAGTGGCCTGGGACGACCCACCGGCCTGGCAGCTGGGAGGCTGTTGGCCCAGGTGACAGGTGACTGGCTTAGCTCGGCTGATTCACACAGCAGTCTCAGCTCTAAGCGTGGAGGGACGACAAACCTCAGGGCACACGTGCTTGGCAGCCTCTGCTTCCATCAGGTTTGCTTCTGTCCCATCATCCAAAGCAAATCACGTGGCCCAGAGCCAGGGCTGGGGAGGTAGACCCCACCTCTGGAAGGGAGAAGTGGCAAAATCGTATTGCAAAATGGCCCCTAGAGACACGGGTGGGAGGAATTTGTAGCCATTTTGCACGGGACCGACGCCGCGAGACGCTGATGTGCTTGGTACCACACTTGCCTCACATCTTTCTCCTCCGCCCCCAAGATGCTCAGAGCTACCTGGGCACCGTGAGGAGCAGAAGGATCTGAGGGCTGAGTTACAAAAAGTATGTTGGGAAATGACAGGGACATAAGAGAGGACTCTGAGCTCCAGGCAGGTTAGGTGATCCAGCCCCACTTCCTAGCCACAAAGAAGCCCTTTCACCTCTCTGGCCTTCCAGATCCCCGTCTGAGTTACAGTGGCTGGGACCAGGTGGCATCCTTCCTCTGCCAGAGCTACAGAGCTGGCACTCTGCAAACACTGCAAAGAGTGTGAGTCTTTTCAACTCAGCCACCCAAAAGGGTGCTGAGATGAGTGACAAATTCTCCAAGGGTACAAGTGTTCATTGGGCTTGGTCCTGCTCCAGTGGGAGACCATTAAGGAGAGAGAAGTTCCACCAATTATCTGACAGGGCTTGACCAAGAGATTCATTTGATGTAAACTTCCTGGGCAAATGAATGACTCACCTGGGCCATTTTGCCCCAGGGCCACAGAAGGTCACTTCTAAATGGTCTGATAGAGCAGGGGCAAAAGGATGGAGGTGTCGCCCTAGGTCACTTCTTTCACCTCGAGTCCACATGAATCCTTAGATGGTAGCCAGTTTGCACAAGATGTCAGTTCCCGACGTTGGGGTTCACTGGTGTAACCGCCTCCACTTAGCGACTTGCTTAATCATTCGGGCGGTTCATTTCTCCGTCAGCCAGGAAGGACGTCTTGAGGTTGACAAACCTGTCAAGGACAATAACTACCACTGCTTCCAGTGCTTTAGCGGAGCCTCAGATGTGCGTCTGCAATTTCCTAGTGCTGGAACGTTCGCTGTATCCCTGGGGGTTGCAGCTCTCTCTGAGTTTGCTGTGGCTGAACCGAGAAAGAAAGGAGGCATATGCATATTTCTACAGAAATTATGATTCCATGAAAGATTTCGAGGAGATGAGGAAGGCTGGTATCTTTCAGAGTGGAGATGATTTTTGAATGTAAAGAATTTCTTTGGGTTGAGTTGCACAGGAGTTTGTCGCTGACCTGTGTTCCGGAGCTATGAGACATGAATACGTGGGCTAAGGAGTAGTTTCTCTTGATAAATAAACAATTAACAAATAAAAAAACAATCATTCCGTCTGTACCGAGCTCCTACTACGTGCTAGGCACTGTGCCAGGCTCTGAGGACACAGGGTCTAGAAAAACAGACAGGGTTTCTCCCTCCGGGAGTTAACCAGCTGGCGGGGAAGATGCCAGATCACAAGATTACAGTGGTGACCAGGGCTTGGAAGAGGAAGTGCCCAGTGGCTCGGCAGGCTACAAAGGGAGCTTTGACCTGGGGAAAGAATTCAGGAGGGCTTCCCCAAGGAAGGAAGCTGGGAGCTGAAGGGTGAATTCCAGAGGGAGGGACCAGCATGTGCAAAGGCCCTGTGGTGGGAGAGAGGACTATGAATATGAGCAACTGGGAGATAGTCTGGGTGTGCCCGGGGTCCCTGGTGCATGATGAGACAGGAGAAGCTGTAGAAGCCAGATGGGGAATGCCCTGTTGGCCAAACAGCGTGGGAAGTGGCTCAAGGGTGTTCAGTGTGGGGCAGGGTGGCATGATCTGATAGGTGAAGAGAAGGCCATGTGTGGGTTTAAAAAACACTAGTCCCTTCAGCCTGCAGACATTTCCTGAGCATCAGCAGTGGCCTGGGCCTGAGGCCACCGAGAGGAAAGGTGCAGAGCCCACCCTCGAGGCACTTTCAGTCTGGGTTCAAGTCGATAGGAGGAGGCTGAAGGTCCCTCCTCTTCCTGTCTCCGTCTTAGATACCCCGTGGGGTGTCTGGAGCTGATTAGACCACTCTTCTTCCTGTTGCAGGCCTTCAGCTGAATTTCTCTGCGTCCTGGGGGGACCTCCACTACCTGGGGCTCACTGGCCTGGAAGTGGTGGGCAAGGATGGCCAGGCCCTGCCCATCCACCTGCACCAGATCTCCGCCTCTCCCCGAGACTTAAATGACCTCCCCGAGTACACCGACGACTCCCGGACCCTGGACAAGTAAGTGGCTGTGAGAAGTTTAACTTCCTTGGCCGCAGGGTTTCAGGGACCCTTTTCAGCGTCTTAGGCTTCAGACACAAACATCAAATAGCATCCCCTATGTCACCTCCCCCAGCCACCCTGTGGAAAGTGGGGTGAGCGTCCCAGGGCCGCACAGCCAGCAGTGGTAGGCAGGATTCAAAGGCAGGTCTTCATGCTTCCAGACTCCTCTGTGGTTTGTTTTCTCCACTGTGCTTAATGTAGTGCCTCATACACAGTGGCTGCCTATAAACCTGTGCAGTGGACGGCTCCACGTCTACGTGTGAATGACCCAGGCCTCTTGAGGGGCTGAGGTTGGAGGCGATTGCTGAGCAAGTCTCCGCAGGCAGCTGCAGCTACGCTTTCCCCTGCACTTGTCAGATTTCATAAGCCAAGGTTGGATCAAGGCGATACGGGAACAAGCCTCAGCTATAGCACTGATCCACGGGGACCCTGTAACCCACAGGCCAGCGCTCAGGCCCCCTGCTCTGGACAGCTGAAGGGCCTGGGCACTGCCCGGAGGTGTAAAGGAGAGTCTTGAGGAGTCAGAGTGATGGGAGTTCAAATCCCTCTCTGCCCCATGCCAACCATTAAGTTTCTTAACCTCTCCAACCATAACAGTAATGGTAATAGTAACTGCTTCTATAGCTGCCATTTATTGAGCACTTATTAAATGCCAGACACTGGACTATGCTAAGCAGGTTACAGATGTTCATTCATTTAAGCCTCGAACAGTCCTATGAGGAAAGTGGTATTAGCACCCCTACTTTACCAATGAGGAAACTGAGATACAGGGACGCTAAAACCAGCCAGAGGCCACCCCGACCAGTTAAGTGGCAGAGTCATGATCTGAATGCAGGCCTGTGGGACACCAACACCCATGCACCTAACCACGGAGTTATACTGTCCCCTCATCTTGGTTTCCTTCTCAGTGGAATGAGGGCAATAATTCCCATGGCTGGAGGCTGGGAAGGGGGTTGTCACATTGCAGCCCACCCCTTGGCCTGGCCCAGAGCATGCGTGGGGTCAGTAGAGGGCTCCTCCCTGCTCTCCTTCAAGGTGGCCCTGAACCGTGGCCCTCACCCCTACTGTCATTGACTGCTCATGGGCCACTCTGAAGCCCTGGATCCTGGCCCGTCACCTTCCTGATGGCTTAGACTTGGAGCCCACGTACCCAGCTCCCGCCCAGCCGCGGAAGTGATCAACACATGGCCCAGGGTGTTCATCCACCCACCCCCTTACCACCCGTTTGTCCCGATCATCTTCGAGCAGCAAATCCCAGGCCTGACAGCGTTTCATCTCTACGTATTACAGGATGCATCTCTAAACAACAAGGACTTTAAAAAGAAAACATAATCTCAGTACCATTGTTATGCTTTAAAAAGTTAACAATGATTCCTGAGATTGCCAGACACCCAGCAGGTCCGTGACCCCCTGACAGTCTCCCTCCCACTTTGTTAACGGTGTGCTCACTTGAATTGAGATCCGCACAAGGCCTGTGCGTTGGGATTGGTTGATATGTCTCTGAAACTTCTTGTAATCTCTAGTTGCCTTCCATCTTTTTCTCTTTTTTTCTTATAAATTTATATCTGTTGAAGAAACCAAGTGGATTTTGCTGGTTGCATCTAAACTGGTTCCTCAGTCCCCTGTATTTCTGGTAAATTGTTAATTAGATCTAGAGTCCTGATCAGATTGGGGTTTGAGCATCGGGGCAAGATGACCACGTGGATGCTGTGTGTGTGCTTCAGGACGTGTGTACTGTCCGGTTTTCAAGCTCTTGGTGATGATGGCGGCCAGTTCTCCTCCGTGCCTAAGTCCATTAATTCATTAGAGACTGCAAAATGGTAACACTGTAGTCGTATCATTCCTGTTTTCATTTATTTGCTGAAATTACTGCAGTAAAGAGAAGATTTTCCTCAATTATTTGGTTACTCTGCAGTACAATTCAAACAGGAAAGGAGACTTTGCTCCTTCAATTTTCAAAATAACAAACCGTTTCTCTAGCATCTTCTAAAACATTTGTCTGTTTGTTTTTGAGTATTATTATAAACGTATGAGTTTAAACTTGCAGCACTGTGTTTGAAGGGTTTTAATCCTTACTGATGCTCACATGGCCCCCTCTGGGACACTGGGAGCTCCTGAGTCCTTTTAGCAGAGTCCTCTCTAACAACTCTCTCGCCTTTTGATGTGACAGGATGTTCCAGGCTCGTCTTGTGTATTTCTTGTCCCAGACCTGGAATCAGCCATTTCTCCAAGAAGCCCTGATTCCTTTTAGTGGGAAATGGTATTTAGAGACCATAGTCTGGCCACTAGGGATGCACATTGCTTCTGGGTTGGTCACTGTTTCCAGGGTTTTTTATGGACAGGGCTAGGAATTCCTGTAGATATTCCTGAGGGTGTCTGCAGGGCCCTCCTTTCACTGTCAGCTATAAATTCTTCAGCAATTCTCTCTGCTCGGGGGGTTGGGCAGCAGTTTTGCTATGGAGGCAGCTCCATTTCTAGGACAGAAAGGTAATTGCTTTTGGAAAGAAATAAAAGGTTCTCTAGTGGTAGTCCTCAGTCAGCTTAGTTCCATAAACATCCCAGTGTCGAATTGCTGAATTTCTTCAGTTTTAAGATGCCAGCAATTGTAAGACACATCATCCATCAATTTAATAACAGCCTTTTAGAGAAGAAAGAAACATTACCTCCTTGGATGAACACTTAGATTTATTCTAAATCCAAAACTTTAAAATGTAAAAAGAAAAAAGTTTATTTGAAAATCTAGGCGGTATGGCAGCAGGCTGAGTTTCTCCCAGTGCAGCAGCCTCGAGGTACCAGGAATCCAGCGGTGGGGAGGAGAGGAAGCTCAGGAAAGTGAGGGGGAGAGGGCAGGGGTTGCTCAAGAGGCTGACAGCTGGGCCCCTTTCTCCGGGGCCAGGCCTCTGAGTGGCAGTGCCGGACACGTGGCCAGAGCCGTGAGGACAAGGTCTGGGGTCTGTGCTAAGGCGTGCTGGGCAGTCCCGGGCAGCCAGAAGTGGTGTGGTCCTTGGGACAAACACAGGTAGACTTGAGACAGAGGCAGGATGTCCCAACCAGAGGAACCAGAAATTGGCAAGGACGGGAGTACATTGGGGCTGAGGTGACAGGCTTGGGACAATAGCTGGGAAGAGCACGAGGGTGCCGGGGGTGCCCTCCCAGTGGTTAGGAGCCTCCCTGGGATCCCCAGGCTGTGTGGTTACACAGAGTCACCTGCTCTGCTTGTACTTGTCCCAAGCTAAGAGCTGCCAAGTTCACCCTGGAGCATCTCCCCTCACGCAGCACAAGGAGGAAGGGCCATGCTTCCTTCCAAATACGCCATAAAGTAAACACAGCAACTGCACAGGAAGTTCGGAAAATTGAGAAAAATATTCGCCTCCATACCTCTGACCCAAATACGTTTTTCACTCTTGTACAATCCCCCCTGGTCCTTGTCCTCGTTTTATAGCGTTGTAATCAGTGTCCCTGCCAGCCCGTGGCCAGCCTCTTCCATGTCCCTGCAGTGTCCTCATGAGTGTCGTGTTAACCACTAGACAATTTACTTTATCCCAGGTCAGGTTGGTTTTTAAAAAGAAAAAAAAAGAAAAGAAAAAAAATATTTAGTGATTTCCCTATTTTGAGATCCTTTAGGTTATCTTTATTTTTGCCAGCATAATTAACACTGTAATGAATATCTTTGTGCAGATAGCCTTTCCAACACACTGAATAAATTTTCATTAGGGGGAAAAAAAAATCCTAGAAATAGGATCACTGAGTTAAAGAATTCTGAAAAGTGACACGTTTTCCCTTTTTTCAAAAACCCTGGGGATTGCTTCACCACTCCTTTTACAGCATAGGCTGGTTTGGTTTTTTTTCCTTTTTTAAAAATTCTGTCGAATTTCATAGATGAGAGATGACTCCTCACTGTGGCTCTAATTAGTCACACCTCCCCTCAAGGGGCCTGATGCCCCCAGGCCCGTGCCAGGCATGGGGGTGCACTGGGCAGGCGGCGGGGGACGTCCCACTCCGCCCTGGCCCAGCCTGCCGCTCCGCCCCCACTGCGTGCAGGTTAATCGATGGCACCAACATCACCATGGAGGACGAGCACATGTGGCTGGTCCCCTTCTCGCCGGGGCTGGACCACGTGGTCACCGTCCGCTTCGACAGAGCCGAGAGCATCGCGGGCCTGCGTTTCTGGAACTACAATAAATCTCCCGAGGACACCTATCGAGGGGTAAGCCGGGGGACAGCGGCCGCGCTCAATCCACTGTCAGGGAAACGGCACCTTGATGAATGGCTGGCATGGCTGCCGGAGAGGAACATAAATCCTCTAGAACTTTCCAAAGGAAGCTGGGGGCGTAACATCTAGGGAGGGTGCGAGCTGCTGTTTCCTTCTGCAAACAGCAAACGCAGAGCCTTGTTTCTTCTGGTGCCGGGGGGCCCTCAGCAGGCCCAGACCCCAGCTTGTCTCGGTCGGGTACGGCTCTGATACCCACTGAGCACCTCGCTGGCCAGGCCTGTGCTGGGCACTCACGTGCCTTTGTCGTTGCACTGACCCTCGTCCCGCCTCTGGAGCCAGGGGTTACTGCCTCGGTCTCGCAGGGTAGTAAACTGACGCTCAGGAAGTTTCAGTCACTCGCCCAGGGTCACACAGCTAGAGTGTCCGTGCAGGTCCACCAGGCCTGGAGCCCACACTCTGTGATTTCCACGTGGTGGTCTTCTCTTGCTGGGCGTGAAGAAGCGGGGGGCTTCTAAGACACAGCTGGGCGGGAAGGAGGAAGAGAGCGCTGGAACAGCCCCTTTGCACGGGCCTTTCTGACCTCAGGTGACTACGGGCCTTTCTGACCTCAGGTGACTACAGTGATGCACGTTTGGTCCCGCCCATCATGTAAGGCCACCTAAAAGGCCCCGATGCAGTTAGGGCCCTGATGTCAGGAGGACCAGAGTCCGATCTCAGCTCCCTTACCAGCTGTGTGACACTTGGCAAAGGGCCGGCTTTCCCTGGGCTGTGTCCTCGTCTGTAAAACGAGGAGGGGGCGACACCTGCCTCAGGAGGGTTGGCATCACCTTTGCCACATAAAAGTCAACAAAGCCAGGACTCGGTCTTGGGGGATCCCATGCCGGGGAATCTCTTCTGTGAGACCTGCAGGGCCTCGAGGACTCTGTCACAGTTACCACAATGGGGTGGGCAGCCGCGCAGCCCTCGTGGCGTGGTGGGAGCCGAGCCAGCGTGTGTCTGGGGCTCCTGTGGGCGGGCAGTTCACGTGCCCTCCCGCGGCTGCCGTGTCTCCGTAAGTGCTCTCTCAGGCTCGGCACGTTGGAAATGTCAGCTGTATTGGCACTAAAAAACCATCTTCTGCTTCAAGTTGTGCCTTGGGGCCTTCACAGTCCCTTGAGCAAATCACCGTCTGACTAGCTGAGCTTCTGTGACTGAGTTCCTGCTTCACAGGCCTGGGCCCCACCAGCCTCAGGGCGGGTGGTGAGGGAGATGGGACAGCACATGGCCTGAGGGGCAGGCCCCCACGTGCAGTGTGTAGACACTGTGACCGAGATGCCCACCGCCCAGTGGCCCTCCCGAGCACCCTGCTCCTGGCCCCGGCATGCGCTTGGTACCAGGGCCTTGGGGCACATTGCTCAGCCTCTCTGAACTCTGGTGTCCTTAGATGAAGCTGATAATAGAAGCCGCCTCCCTGGGAATGAACAGAGGACAGGTGACCAGCTGTGCCTGGGGAAATCACAGCTGCTTCCCGGAGGAGGTGTTGGCCCCAGGGGGTGGATAGGGCTTCCTGGGCCTCTGCTTTGCTCTGTGACCCTGGCAACTCCAGGCTACATCCCGCTGGCTCCAAGCCCAGCAGGCACCCCTTTGAGGCAAGTAGCAAAAGTCTGGGACACGAGGAGTCAGCCTTGAGGGAGGAGGGTGGACAGGTGCAGAGAGACAGAGACCAGGTCCACATGGCAGCCGTGCCTGCAGCCAGTGAGCCCACACTTCTCAGGTTTACGTGTCCTGTGAGGGGCTGACATAGAGGGGCTCCCCCCATGCTGAGGGAGCGAAAGGCTCCAGGGGCGCATGAGACCCAGGGCAGGCAGCCGTGCCCACGCTGCTGGCCATGAAGGTGGAGTAAGGTGTCGAGGAGAAGCTGGCTCTGGAATCTGTAGTGAGAAAGAGGGTGCCGGCTACCACCCCTCTCCTGCCCAGAGACTCTGAGGCTTACTGGTACATCTGGCCATCTGGCCAGAGAGCTCTGGCTAGAATGTGGGGGCAGGTTGGCCCAAATCATCATGAATTCACTAAGCTCTTAGTAAGCACCTGCTGTGTTCCGGGCCCTGAGACAGATACAGAGATGGTCCGGCTGGGGTCTCTGCTATGAGAGAGACCCAGAAACCACTGAAGACACTGCGAGGTAGTACATGCTGCGCCTCCCCCCACCAAAAAAAACTGAGCTAAGCGCTATAAGAAAGATCAGGAAGTAGCTGATTGTGCCCTAAGGGAAAGTTGTGGGAGAGGTGTTGATGTGTGAGCCGGGATTTGAAAAAGGAATGAATGATAACACGCATGGAGTGCACATTTTGTACCAGGCACTGTTTTGGGCACTTTACTAAATTAACTCATTATCGTGCCCATTTAATAGATGAGGAAATCAAGGCATAGGGAAGTTAAGTAACATCCATAGCCACTGGTCTTGGATGTTGGAGCACCTGAGTCCCTGCCCTTGGTCACCATGTCATACCGCCCCAGGCTGCTGTAGGTGGGTGGGGCCTTGGCCAAGTCAAGTGCCACCCCTGGAACTGGTGACCAGAGAATGCATGTACATGTCCACTGCGGCAGGGGCCTTGCCTCTCTTGTCCTCTGCTCTCTGCCCAGCACCTGGCACAGCACCTGGCACTGGGAAGCGGACCCTGGCCAGGGGGCTCTGGCTCAGGAGAAAGGCGAGACCAGGCCGTGTCTCAAGCCTGGGGCTCTCCGTGTCGAGAGCCAGCTGCCCCAGCCCCGGCCACATCGGTCTCGCAGCCCACCCTGCACTGGCTTCTTCCCTTCAGGTGTGCTATTTCTTCTGTTTGCTAGGCCAAAATCGTGCACGTCTCGCTGGACGGCTTGTGCGTCTCCCCTCCGGAGGGCTTCCTCATCAGGAAGGGGCCAGGCAACTGTCATTTTGATTTTGCTCAAGAAATCCTCTTCGGGGACTACCTGCAGGCTCGACTGCTGCCCCAGCCGGCCAGGAGGTGAGGGGGACTGGGCGCCGGGCACAGGTCCTCCCCGCGCCTGGGCCCGCATGCTCCGACTTTCTCTGAAGTGTGTACTGAAAGGGTTTTGAAACAATGATCAAACGCTTTGCATTTCAACTTGGCCATTTTCTAAAGCTCAGCCAAGCCTCCCTGGAAGCCCGTGGGATGTACCGGCCTTGTCTGGGGATGTTTGGGTTTTTCACAGTCTGGAGTGCTTAAGATTTTAAATACTTCGTGGCACAGCCCACTGGGAAAAAGAGGCTACAGCCTGCCTGCATTCCAGAAATGCCAGAAATGCCCGCTGGCCAGTTCGGGGAGGGCCTTGCTTCCCTTGTTTCTGTGTTCCTGATTTAGAGAGATTCAGAGAGAAAAATAGCGCCTCATATCTCATGGATTCGCTGGGATTTCTTGGCCCCAGTCTCAGCTGCATTAAGTTCATAACGATTTGTAAATGTCACGTTAAGTTTACTCATTTAAACCCCCTGATGTCCAAACACCAGAGGCCAAGCTCTCGAAACAAAATGAGTTTCCCTCCGCCGTAGTGGGGACGGCTTATTGGGACGGTCACTGGGAACGGTCAATTAATTGTAACATTGCCCTTGAAGTTGAAGAGAACCAGGCTAGGGCTGGAGGGCCTTGAGCATGGACCAGGGAGCGGAGCACGGTGAGGAGGCTGGCAGAGGAGTCGCTCTCTCTGGAGGGCCTGCTGAGCACCGCGTGCTTTGTATCTGTCCTTTGGAGAATCCCTCCCACCGCCCTTTGAAGTAGGGAGTGTTATGCCCATTTTGCAGATGTAGGAACTGAGGCCCTGGCTGGTGGAGACAGGTGCGTGGGATCGTGAAGCCAAAGCCTTCAGGGCCCTCCCCATCTTCCAGCCTCCTCTCGCTCCCCTCTCCCCATCCTGCCCCGACTGCAGCCCTCTGGAGCACCCAGCTCCTTCCCACCTCGGGGACTTTGCTCTGCTGCCTCTCTGCGTGGTGGAAGGCTCAGCTCTGACGTTCCCAGGACTGCCCCCTCCAAGAAGCCTTCCCGGGCCACCCCCTGAGGTACCCTGCCCCACCCGGGCCCTCTGCCCCGTCACCCCGGCATGGGTCTCTCGTGGCTCTCAGCGCAGCGTGGACTCTCCCTGTTCGTGGAGGCAGCAGAGTGGGGGTGGATGAGAGAGTGGGCAGTGGTACAGACAGTCTCAGGCCACATGCCAGTTCTGCCAGCTACCAGCTCCATGGCCTTGAGCAAGTGACTTCATTTCTCATTGTTCCAATTTCCTCATCCACAACCCAGGGACATCAAAGTGCCCACCCCCTAGGGTGGTGCTGAGGAATAAAAGAGGCCATTTCAGGAAAGCCCGAGCGCCGGGGCTCCTGGCGCAGCCGCCTGCCAGCGTGGCGATGACTGTCGTCTGGAACGGCAAGCCCAGGGAGCAGGGCCCTCGTCTGTCTTTGCACTGCTACGTCCCCGGGAACGCTCAGTGCCGTATTTCTTCAGTCCGTTGCCTGGGGAATAACGGACCAGGGATTCTGGACCGTCATGATCTTCTTCATGTGCTGTTTTGTGTTTTTTCAGGCTCAACAGGAACAGCCTGGAGCGGGCGAGCATGGACTATGAGGCACCACTGATGCCGTGCGGCTGTATCCTCCTCGTCCCATCCCGCAGCGCAGCCCGGGCCCCAGGGCAGGCTCTGGGCCTCAGCTGCCTGGCCAGGGTTTCAGGCAGCCACAGCTAAGGCAGCTGAAGTGCCATGCAGGGAAACTGAGGCAGAGGATGGGAGGACTCCCGGGTTCCCCAGCCCACTGGGTGTTGCTGGGACTGGGACAGCCATGTGACTTCCAGATCCCACCTCCTGGCAGGCAGAGGCAGCAGAAGGCAGTACCCAGGACTCCAGCTGGGGGGTCGGGGATGGAGAAGCTGAAACTGGGCCCAGGAACTGGACCGGGGCTGTCCTGGAGCCGGGCAGAGGTGAAGACAGAAGTGGCCTAGCACTGTTCTCAGTGCCTCGCCTATCTTCATGCAGTCCTCACATCAGCCCTATAGAGTGGTACTGCTAGCAACCCCATTTCACCGCTAGGAAAACTGAGGCAGGAGAGGCTCAGTCACTTGCTCAGGGCTACCCAGCTGGGAAGGTGTAGGACCAGGTTAGCGATCCCAGGCAGCCTGGCTCTGAGGCCCGCTGCCTAGCTAGCCGGTTCTCCTAGAAGCACTGCCTCTGGCTATGACATCGCCTGGGAGCCACCTCACCCTTCTAGGGTCTCCTGCCCTGCGGGCTCCTGGGAGCAGGAGACGGGGCCTGGGAAGGGCTTGATGCCTGGTTGTACACGTGGGTCACCCTGCCACGGCCCACACCCCCGACGCTGTAAGGCTCATGTGTCCTCCCTTTTAGCCCCTACACACCTGAAAAGGGTGGAGGAGGGAACAGGTACTCTGTTCTTGTCATTCTACAGCCAGGGAAACTGAGGCATGAGACAGGGAAGCAATTTGTTCAACACCATCCAATGAGTTTGTGACACAAATGTTTCCCCATCCTGCCTGCTCCCTGGAGAGCACCCTCCACTTGTTCTGTCTCCTGAGGCCTGGAGACAGGTTTTGAGTTCTTCACACACACACACACACACACACACACACACACATACACACACACACACTCCTACACACATGTACGCACGCGTATGCCGTTTCAATTAAAGAAACTTTGATGCCACCTATATTTTGATAGGCTTTAGTCTCAGAGAGAGAAAACGTTTTCTCTTTTTTATCAATATAATCCAAAAAACCCTTGTTATCTTTGTCATTGTTTTACTTTGTTCTCCAAAAATTTAAGCCTTATTTCCTTAATAGTGTCCCCAGTCATTTTCCAGTTTCAGCTCCTGACCAGCTGGGGCGACCCCTATTACATCGGTCTCACGGGCTTGGAGCTGTATGATGAGCGGGGGGAAAAAATCCCCTTGTCGGAGAACAGTATCCTTTCCAGGACGGGAAGGGGCTCCGTCCAGACTGGAGGGAGCATGGGAGCGTCTGGACAGGGGTAGAATCCTCGAATGCAGAGGGAAGGGTCCCTCTGGGGACCAGAGCCCCACTGGCCCTGGGATGGGGTTGTGGCAAAGCAGAGAGCAGCACCCTGCCAGGCCATCGAGAGCAGGAATTCCGCAAACCGGAGTCCCACGGTCAGGCACATTGGGAGCGGCTACCAACTGCAGCCCCCTCGCAGAGAACCATGGATGGATATTTTGGAGTTCTGAAGGCTCTGACCTGTTGCGCTGTGTGCAACTCAGTGTGTCCTGAATTTATTAACCACGGAGCCCTTTGCTTATGGTATACCCACGCCAGAATTTGCAAACTCTAAGCCCAGTGCATTTTAAAATATTTTAAATTACTTGCTAGTATATTTAAAAATCAGGAGGTTTCACATGAAAACCCTGCTGTCCAGCTTCTCTGTGAGAAATTGGCAACACGAGGCCCGCGGTCATGTCTAGCGATGACGGCTGCACCTGAGTATCCACGGCCTTTTCTCCCCCGCCACATCCATCCAAGTCCCCACCCCTCCCATTGTTGTCTGCCAGGCCCCCAAGACATATTGTTAATATTTACTAAGGGCTCACTCTGTGCCAGGTACTGTGTCAGGGCTTGTCACTTGGTGCCTCGTTTGCCCTCACAATGATCTTGTAAAGTAGGTGCGGTTGTTATCCCATTTTACAGATGTGGGGCCTGAGACACAGAGAGGTTGAGTAACTTGGCTAAGGTCACACAGCCCCAGTGAGGCTGTCTCCAGATGCCGGCTTTTAACCACCAAGCTATCCTACCTCTCTCTTATGTAATGTGTCCTGACCCTTCTAGGCTTTTGAGTCAATAATCTCAACCCACCACAGTTAGGGAAATGCCAGAGCAGGTTATAAAGTCTGCCTTGCATCTGCTTGGGGTCCCTGGGCTCCAGCTGGATCCTTTTCTGCCTTCTCCTACTGCCACCACCCTCCTCAGCTGGGACTAATGATTCTTGATGGTTTTGATCATCATTAGTGATTGCCAGGATGTATGAGGCGCCACTGGTTTTACTAAGAGGGCTCACATCCAGTGTCCTCTGAGAGCCTCACACCAGTTCCGGGACATAGATGTTTTTATACCCATTTTACAGATGAGGAAACAGGCCCGGGGGGTCACATGGCTTGCGCAAGCTCTCACGGTCATGATGGCAGAGCCAGCGCTGGAACCTGGGCTCTGCAGATCCACAGTAATGCCCATCGGTTGAGTGGCAATAGCTGGGTCAGGCTGCCGCAGTCCCGCCACGTGGCCAGGGAGACAGTCTTGGCTTGGTCCTCACATTCGGCCGTCACCCGTCCCCGTCCAAAGGAAACTTCCACAGAGTCGGCCCTTCGCTCTCCAAAGCAGCAACAGCATTTTTTGTCCCCACCTCTGGCAGTTCCCTGCAAGTCCCTTTCTCAGCCAGCCCTCTGTGCGGTTTCCGCCCCTTTGTGCTTGAAGCTGGCCAGCCCTCCACACACGCGCCCGCTCCCCTCGGCCTCCACGTGCCCAGCTTCCCGGGAACACGTCTAATTTAGCTGTCAGTTCTCGGCTGCCCAGAGCAGCAGGCCCACCAGCCCAGCGTCCCCCCGAGCCGCGCCGTCACCCTGGCGGAGGCCGCAGCCCCGAGAGTGGCAGGCTGTGCCTAGCGCGCGGCCTTTTGGTTATGGCAGCTTAGACACCTCCTCAGATATCGCCGCCTTCCCCGACAGCGTGAACTCCCTGGAGGGCGTCAACGGGGACGTCCGCACCCCGGACAAGCTCATCGACCAAGTGAACGACACCAGCGACGGCAGGCACATGTGGCTGGCCCCCATCCTGCCAGGCCTGGTGGGTTCCCAGCGGCGGCGGCGGCCACGGCAGCTCCTGGCCCTGGGGCGGGCAGGGGACACTGTGGTCTCAGTGACACATCTTTCTTCCAAGGTCAAGTTAATCTCAGACAAGTCAAGATGCTTGAGAGGGAGCCGTCGGAAAGGCTTAGGTCTTTGCTGACGCGCCTGATGGGCTCAGATCTTCTGGGCCAGCAGTTCTTTCTCTTTGCTCTGGGGGAGGTTAGTATAAGGGGACCCCAGGAGCTAAAGGGGCCACAGGGGAATCTGAAGCCAGGAACCCCCATGCAGCAGCCTGAGGGCTTGGGGTCCCTGTGGACACCCCTCTCTGGTTCTCTGTTTTGCCTCCCTTTTCTCTGCAGACAGCTCTGCCCTCTTCCTCCCCACCCGCCTCCCTGCGCTCTCGCTGCCTCTGCTCCTTCCTGTGTCACCGCAGACTGGACCCCAACCTGGCCGCCCTGCCCCTCTCTGGCCCCAAATCTGCCTGATCAGCTATTCTGACCAACTGACTCCGTTTCCTGGGTCTCAAGCCCTGCCCTTGGCCCTGCTTATCTTTATGTCGCTCTGGAAGCTGGACCCAGCTGGGCAGCAGGCATTGTTGCCACGGGACAGGGGAGGCCCCACCCCGCCTCGGGCCAGGGCCTGGGCAAGACTGAGGCTGCAGCTTGTGGCCAACGGGGAATGCTTATTTCTCTATTAGACCTTGCAAGGAGCCCCTGATATTTGAGAGTCTTTGTTGGGGGTGGGGAGAGGGCTGTTGGGTCCGACTTTGCCAGCTGACTCTGCCGCTGAGCTGGGCCGGCCCCTGCACACGCCCCCAGCAGAGGTTCAAGGACACATGCTGGAAACACCCCAGCGGTGCCTTTGCTCTGCTCCTCATTTATGACTCAAGGAAAGGACAAGCAGGGGTCGGGCGAGTGGCCTGCCTGTGGCTAGTGCTCCACTTGAGTTGGGGACTGTCCCTTTGGCCTGTGGGGGCCCCAGACTTTTTCTGGGCCTGAACCGGGGGAAGGCCGAGGATGTTCCCAGTTCTCTGCTGGCATTTAAATGAGGGCCACACCAGCCCCAAGAGCACAGGCCCTCCAAGAGCCAGCTCAGCAGTTTGTTGCAAACGCAGCCACACGTGACCTGACTCAAGATGAAGGGGGCGGCGCTCTGGCTGGCGGACTCGGGCAGGCGCTGCCTCGGCCCCAGCTCGCCCCCGGCCCAGCCGAGCGCCTCTGTTTCCAAACATGCCTGTTTTAATTAGTTCTGCTCTCTGACAGGTAAACCGGGTTTATGTCATTTTCGATCTGCCCACCACCGTGTCAATGATCAAACTGTGGAATTACGCGAAAACACCCCATCGAGGGGTGAAGGAGTTTGGCGTAAGTACTTATTAGCTGGATCTTTTGAGATAATTGTGCTCGTTGGTAATTAGGCCGCCGGCAATTTTCATTTGTCGCAGTTCGATTTACTTCTCTCTGTTGCAACCTTAGACACAAATGCCTGGTCCTCAGATGCAGGGAACGTGCCGTCCAACCATGAATTCAAAACCTCCTCGCAGGGAACAGAAAGGGGCTTTTCTTTCATCTTTTCCTCCGGAATCCCGCTGGTCTGGGGAGGCGACTCTGACATGGGGAGAGCAGGGACCCCGGGGGCCAGAGACCCGAGTCTGCCTCCCGGCGTGGCCACTTGTGCCCGCAGTATTTAAGCCTCCGAGCCTCAGCTTCCTCATCTGCGACACGGGCTGACAGCACATGCAGATCTGAAAGCTTAAGGCAGGTGGGCACACAGTAGGCACCGTCGCCGACACCCGTCTTCTGGGGGAGAAAGCCTCGGCTCAGAGCAGTCACCTGCTTTGCCCAAGGTCCATGTGGGAGGGAGGGGGACCCGTCAGCCCCGCCTCTGTCCGTGCAGCTGCTGGTGGACGACCTGCTCGTGTACAACGGGATCCTGGCCATGGTGAGCCACCTGGTAGGGGGCATCCTGCCCACGTGCGAGCCCATGGTGCCCTACCACACCATCCTCTTCACCGAGGACGCGCACATCTGTCACCAGGAGAAACACACCGCCATCAGGTGCGGCCCTGGCCGGACCCACGGCCTCCCCGCCAGCCCTAATGAGGACAGGGGGCCGGACACGCGGCCGGGAGCCTGACTGCATCTTGTGTCTCCTCCCTCCCCACAGCAGCCAGGTCGAGGATCAGGACGTCCAGATGATGAACGAGAACCAGATCATCACCAACTCGAAAAGGAAGCAGAGTGCCGCCGACCCAGGTCAGTGGCGTGTCCTCGTCCAGAGCATCCCGCTTCCGCGGTCCGGTCCAACCACAGAAGGAGCCGGGGCCTGGCACTTCTGCCCTCGCCCTGCCTGCCTTCAGACCCCCACCCGGGAGCCTGCCCAGGGGGCTGGGAAGGGGCTGATGGGGACAGAACCTCGGGAGTAACGTGTCACCTGCTTCCTGCAGGCACCTGTCACATGGTGCGGCTCCCCGTAGCCAAGAGCTGCAAGTACAGAAGCGACAGGCAGTCAGGGCAACGGTGTGCCCTGTGCCGTGGGAAACCGGGAGAGGCTGCCCAAGGCTTCCCAGGGGGGTGACATTTGAGCTGGGTGCTGGAGGATGTGAGGTGTGCCCGGCGGCTGGGCAAAGGCCTGAGGGCTGGCGTGGCGCAGCCCACTCCAGGCAGCGGGAAGGGCCAGCGTGCCAAGTGCCCAGCGTGCGGGGCTGTTCTCCAAGGGCCTAGAATGGAAACCCCAGCAGTTCAACTTTACCCTAAGGGCATAGGCACCCCTCAAGGATTTGAGGTTCAGTAACTCGGTCCCTCTGTGCTCTGCCTTGACAGCCTTACGTCCCAAAACCTGCATAAGCGAGAAGGAGACGGCGAGAAGATGGCGGTGCTGACTGGCGCAGGAGGGAGAGCTGGTCCGGCCAGGCTGGGGCTCTGCCACCGGCCTCACTCAGCACCCGTGTCCCCCGCCCTCAGTCCCAGGGGCTGGCAGAGACCTGCAGCATGGAGGGGAGCCCGCTGGGGAGAGGGGACTCGGGGGTGACAGCCCTGGAAACTAGAGGAGTGACCGACAATGAGTGCGGGGCTGCAGGGCGTGGCGTGGCCTTGGGCCCTCCCCTGCGGCTCTGGGCTGGCTGCAGGGAGCCTGGACACATTTCTTGGTGCCTCTCCAAGATCCAGCAAAGCAGGGCCCGTGGCCACTCAGGCCTGGGCTGACGCCAGGACGGTGTGGTGGGCTGGGGGGTCTGCCTCCGGCCTCCTCAGGGCTCAGCAGGGCAGCAGGGAGACCAGGCCCCACACCCCAACCCCTGCACGTGGGGCAGACCCGCGGAGGTGGCCAACACCCCCCTGCCTCATCTGGCTGAGAGGCTGGGGTGGTTTCCTGGCCCCCAGCATGTGTCTGGTCCGGTTGAGAGGGAGGAGGTGGCTCTGCAGGGGCCTCTCTCCTCTTATCAAGGGACTGGCCAAGGGTACGTGTCCTGCTGAGGAAAGAAGTGAGCTGGGCCCACCCGCTGTGCACTCCAGCATGAGCTGGGCCACTCTGGCACGCCAGGGCACCTTCTCTGTGCTGCTGCCAGGCCCAGAAAGGCTCCAGGCTGGCGACTCCAGACCCAGACGGCCAGAAGAACCCCCCAAATGCCCTCTGGATGCAGACGTTGGTGGGGAGGCTGAGGACACACACCCTACCCCCTTTTACACTTGAACTTAGCGTGGAGGAAGGCTGCCCTCACCGCACACCCCTGCCAAGTCCCTCCTGATCCGATCGCCGGCCCCACTTGCTGGCTTCCCTCCCTTTGTCCGTGCCCCGCACCCCTGGAGTCAGGCAGGGAGGCTCTCGTTGCCTCTTGTTGCCCAGGCCCCCCCCACCCTTCTCCCTCTGCATCCATCCGCTTCCCAGCCAGTTGGAAACGTGCCTTGCACCCCCAGCCGAGTGAGGCCCAGGACGCATCTATTTCCATCGATGTAACAAGCTCAGATCAGGGACCTAATTGGTTTCCCAGTGGTGGGTAATTTCTCGTTCCAAATATTAATCCGTTGTTTTCCTGGCGCCCAGCCCGGCCCCGCCGCAGTACTGTACTCGAAGTACGTTCCTATGCAACCGAGAGCCCCAGCAAATACTTTATGAGCTTTGCAGCCTCGGCTGGAGCAGCTATGCAAATGCGCTTTTCATTTGGAGCACGGGGCTGATGTGCAGATAAGAATTGTTTCTCTCCGAGAAGATCCATCATTTCGGTAGCTTCCAAGCCCCCGGCACCTCTGCTCAGCTCCCAGATGTGGTGAGCACCTCCCGCCTGGGGGAGTCAGGGGCTGATCACACCAGCTCTCGTGACCAAAACCAGTGCCATTGCTTTAAAGGGAGCCCCATCTACCCCTCCCTGCCTGAGGCGTGGGTACAGGTCAGACTCGTCAGGGAGGTGGCACGCACACTACACACGCCCGCTCCTGGAATCTCGGTTGATGTTTATAATTGCATGTACCGCGCAATCTAGGAGGGGAAAAAGAAGCTGTACAGGCATTAACTCTAAAATAAATTTCTATTTTTTTCTCTTGCAAAATCAATGAAAGATGTTACTAAGAATATAGTCTGACCCACTGGATTTGGGGGCAGACGGCGGGAGCCCATGCTGCCTCCAAGAGCAAAGTCAGAGCCCACTGGAGGCTGGCTGGGCAACACGCACAAGGGAAGTGCCTCTCTGAGCGTCCCTTTCCCCGCTGCCAAGGGCGTTGTGGTCCTGGTCCTGCCTGCTCACTGGGATTGTCATGCCGTATGAACAGATGATAGTGGCCCACACACATACACTGCTTATTACATGCTTGGCACTATCTTGTTCTGTCCACCTAACAACCCTATGGGGCAGGCACTATTATTATCCTCACTTTACAGATAAGCGAGCTGAAGCTCCCAGAGAGGTTGTGTAACTTTCCAAGGATACACAGCTTTGGAAGCTGTTAGTCAATGCAAAATCCCTGCTGAGGCGGGGGTGATAACCTTTTTGGGTTAACACCAGCCCCCAGACACCTGATTCCTGGGCCTCCTCCCACCATTCTCCATGCCCCTGCTCCCTTCAGGGGTGAGCGTTGGCTGCTGTTAGCTTCTGGATAGTGGGAGGAGGCTCAGCGGGGCAGGTCCAAACTGCAGCTCAGGTGCCAGCAACAGCAGGTCCTTTAGAAACTGCGCTTCCCTCCACTGTCCGGCCCTAAGCGTGGAGGGAAAGGGCTGGGGCCCCGCTCTGCCCAGCCCCCCTGGTGCAGACGAGAGACCCCCTCACTCTTCCCATGGAGGGATCTCTGGGCTGCCCTGGAGACCCCGGCGGGTAGGGAAGCCCTTCACCATCCCTCTGAGGGGATGGCGGCTGGCGGGGGCGTCCCAGCCCCTCAGCTATCCGGGGGCCAGGCAGGCGACGTCAGGGAGCAACGCTGGCCTGCAGGGACGGCAACGGGGTAGCACAGGCCCTCCCAAGGGCTCAGCTGCAGCTCAGCTCTGAGGGTCCAGCAATGCCAGATATCCAGGCATTTTGTTAATATTTATCTTTAATGTGAAATCTAACTTTTAAATGTTGGCTCAACTTAAACAAGCAAACACACGCTGAGTGGGCCAAAGCAAACCTGGGTGCAGGCTGGCTGTGGTCAGCACACAAGTCCTGCGTGGCCAGCCCTGCATCCCAGTGTGGCCGTGGGCCTGCCTCCTTCCTGTCCCCGGCCCTGGGAACGCCCAGGGCTGGATCCTGCCGACCCTCCTCCCCTCTCCTCCCTGGCCTGTCAGCCCCGATGCGGGCAGGAAGACAGGGCTTCATCGGTGAGCCTTTGCGCAGGGAAATGGGTGAGCCCAGCTGTCGTGGGTAAACAGAGGCCCTCCCCTCCCTTCACGTCCTGCTGCTTCCCTCTGTGCACCCCCCGCCGTACACACACGGGGCAAAAAAGACCCCAGGGCTGCAGCTGTCAGAGGCTCGGGCCTTGTTGGCACCCTGGCATAGGTTACTGGAAAAGGGTCTTGGCCGCAGCTGACAAGAGGGTTGGGAAGAGCAGGCTCGGGCTCCCAGAGGATGCTCTCCTCAAGCAGCCAGCCCCTGGGGACCCCCTTTCTCTGTCCAGCTGCAGGAAGGACCTGCTTCCCTTTATTGGGAGTCGGTTTGGTTCCAACACTGGCACCTGGCGCCACCTCAGAAGGCCCCGAAGGCCCCCAGGGCTGCTGAGGCGGGTTCTGCAGCCAGTCAGATGGCGGCTGTGCCACACCCGGGCTTGTGTGCTGGGACGAGGCCTCACCTCCCTCCTCACCCAGAGCCAGGACGGTCCCTTTCCCAGCCCTCCAGGCCCCGCCTGGCCTCTTCCCAGACCTCAGTCTGGTGGCTCAGCCTGCTGGGTTTGGCCACCTAGACAATGTTTAATTTTTTGAAATTATTTGCCTTCCTTTACTGTCAGCTTTCACATTAAAATTCAGATTCCCTGCTTCTCTGGAAAGACGGGGGATCTGGCAAGTCTCGTGCCACATTCCTGGCTGGCTCTCCAGGTCACCCCTGTCTCTACCCTTGGTCTGCCACCGTCACTGGCATGACCATCACACACGCCCCTGCCAGCATGCGGATTTGCAACCCCTGAGATAGAGGCAGGCGAGGACAGTGGAGAAGCAGAAGGGGACACGGGGACAGTGCTGTGGGGTCCAGCAGGCGCGGGGCTGGCAACGAGGCCCCGGCTTCCCGGGCATGCAGAGCGCTCTCCCGGGCCTGGGACTCAAGCCTCTGGCATCCAGGCAGCAGGGCCACCCAGGGGCTGGGAAAGGCAAGTGGCCTCTGTGCACTGTGTCGTGTGTGTCCCCGAGTGCCTCAGGGGTGTCTGTCCGCCCGCTGTGCGGGTCTGTGTCTGTGCGGGCGTGTCTGGGATCTCCGTGCGCCCTGCGCGTTCAGGCCTCCCATCCACTCCGGGACACCCACAGCCCCTGCAGAAGGGGCGGCCTGTAGCAGCCGTCTGCTGAGGTGACAAAACAGCCAGTACTGCTAAGCCTCCACCCTACGTGAATGCTCTGCGGACTCCTCATCAAGGCAGGTCCGGGTGACAGCACTGAGACCTCAGCTCCCCAGCGGGTTGGTGGTGACCCACGGGCAATGGGCTGGAGTCCCGGCTGCACCATTTCCTGGCTGTGTGACCTTGGCGAGTGACCTTATGCCCTCGAGGCTGGGCTTCCTTACCCAGGCTGCAGGGTCACCTGCGGTACCTGTGTCGTGGAGCTATGAGGGCATCAGTGACCCCTGGCCCTTAGAGCTCAGCCCTCCTGGGAGGGAAGACGCCTGTACTACGTTTCACGGTCACCCTTATCTTACGGGTGTGCAACCTGAGGCGGGGTAAGAGCGGCCTTGGGGCCTTGACATGACTCCCGAGCCTGGGCTCTTCACAGAAGCAGGCGCCACCTCCCGGCCCCAGCCGATTGGTCCACAAACGGCACTGGCCTTAGAGCAGCCGGCCCATTGGCTGGGCCGAGACTATGTCCCGCCCCTCCGCTGCCGCCTCTTTCCCCGCTCTGGTCCACCCCTTCCCTTGGTGGTTGAGTTTCCTCCCGTGTTCTTCATCTCTGCCTCCTCTCCCTCACCCACTCTGCCTGCACCTCCCACCCCGACATGCACACCCCTGCAGTCCCCAGGAAGGAAGGGGCAGGGTGGGTGCACCAGGCTCAGGTGTGCGCCCTCTGGCGGCCACGGCCTCCCACCACAGAGCTGCGCCCTCGCAGAGGCCCCGACGCTGCCCCTGGAGCCCGGGGCCCCTCACTGCCCAGTCCCGGCCTGCCCTGGCTGCCCACGGCCCTGCCAGGCTGCAGCCATCAGCCCTGCCACTAACACCCCCCCAACCAAGGCAGAGGCTCGGACAGTATCGGTCCAGGATGAGATGTGGCCCGAGAAGCAATTACCAGGGTAACATGAACTGGGCCGTGCGGGGACAGGGCCCGGGTC